GGGGAAATTAATTAATGAATGAAAATAAAAAAAAATAGATGGCCCTAAACATTTGTTAAAATATTAAATAATTTGTATAGAAAGTTAATGAAAACATGAAAAAATAAAAAACAAATGGAATTTGTATTCAAAAGTTCCTAAATTTTAGGGAATTTTAGTTTTAAAAATTCAGTGAAAACTGTCTACTCTCGGTTTAAAAAAAAAAAATGTACATTGTTAAAAACCCCTGAAGTTTTTTAACACAACGAAAAATAAATGAAAATGTATAGTGAATATTTATAGTCTKGTGAATGAAAAGTGGCCGCTGGCAATATGATAGGAACCTTTTTTTTTTCGATAAGCCATGGGTTCTCAAAGTGAATCACATAAAATACGATTAATAATGATTAATAATTCAAAATGCGTGCGCTTTTTTCCATAATTTTACGGTACAATGATGAAAATTCACCGCTAGGTGTGTGGGCATCAGCGGCCACTTTTCATTCACCAGACTATAATTATTTAAATACATTGATTTTATATTATTTTAATTAGGTTCGGAAGTGCTCAGTACCGATGATTCAGATACCGAAGAGGTTATAGCTGATCCATTACCCATTAGACGACAACGAAGTCACAACCGTTCTTTGTGTATGCTATGTTCAGTTAACGATCATGTCAATCGATCTGCAACGCGTAATCGTAAAGTATCGTCTAGTTCCCTTAGACGATGTCGAACTGGTAATAATAAAATATTTTTTTAATTTTTATTTTCATAATGTCATAATCTTAACCCAATATTACTGTTTTAGAGACTGAAAGTAGTTATGGTATGGGAGTTGAAGGAGAAAGTCCAATATTATTGCCATGGCAACACAATAAGTCTTCATGCCTCCATGAAGCTTCAGGTTTTGGTACAGGGAGCAATGAAAGTGGTGCTAGTTCTGATATCAGTAGTAAGTGTAACATCTTAACCTTAAATATGTTGTATTTCAATTTTCTATTATTCTGTAAATGTAAGCAAGTATAAATCTAAATTTGAATCTACTTAAAACAAAAATTAAAAAAAAATTGTTTGAATAAGCTAGTATCAAAACACACATTGAATTTAAATGTATAATGTTTATACTATATTCAAAATTATATTTTGATTAGGTCTGGCACAGAGGTCAACTTTAGCTGATCGAATTACCAAGAGCCGTTCGGCATTGCGGCGAGATATTTTAAAACTTGTTGAACAATTACCAAATCCTGTTTTGTATAAAATGTCTACCCAGAGCCTTTTACAGTATGTATTTTTAATTTCCTTATAAGTATATTTTATGATAAAGTGTAAACACTTTTATTTTATTAACATGTGCATTTTTTTTTTAATGTTTTAAACAGAATGAAACAAATGTATGGTGACTTGTTTCATGATATATGTGTTTATTCAGATGTTTGTAATTTATTAGCCAATCATCATTATCACATTCAAGCTAGACGTTATATGCATGAACTGTTTTTGGATGCACCATTCAAGGAGGTAAATATTTAATAATATATAATATTGATTAATTTATGACACTATCCATTGCTTTAATTTATTTTATTTTAATAGCTATACGATGAACCGGCCACAATACTTGGCCGTCAGAGTCCACTTGAAATATTAAGTACAAATTGTATAAGTAATGATGAGGTAGAAAAAATTCATGGGGAAAGTGAACTTGAAGTAATCATGGAAGCTGAGTTGGAACATAAGAGGCGGTCTACAGAAGTCACAACAGAATTGAAACCGACTACAACTTTAATTAGACAACGTAAACAGACAGTGTATGATTCTTCTAGTCAACGATCACAAGAATAATTAGTAGAAAAATGTAATAGCAGGTATTTAAAAAAAAAAAAAATGTTTTGTTTTGTTTTAATTTATATTGTTTTGTTTCCTTAAAAATATTAATATATATATTTACATGTATCTATATATTAAAAAATATATATATTTATAAATATTTACAAAATTGTATTAATTTAAGTTGGTATTTAACAATAATAAACATAATGCAAGTGTGCAAGTCACAAATGATAATAWTAGTATATTAGTACAAAAATTGGGAAAGAAACTTCAAACAAATGATTGTGTATTGATCTTTTACCTACATCTTATACTGCGTGGAATTCATTACATTGTCCACTCCACTAAGAATCGTCTCATAAACGTCGTTTTTCAATGTATGTGTAGTCAACATTAGTAGCCACTAGCTGCGTATATTATATTCCAGACCAGCCAGCACTTCATAATTGATTCATTTTGGCACTATGGGTATAAGCCACAGTATAATTGTACAAATATATTAAGATATTATGTTGGACTGTCTGAGTAGAGAGTAGAAAAAAAACATCATTTGAAATGCTTTGACAGGGAACTGCCTTCCGGCACAATGTTGTATCTACGGCTTCACCGGACCCAAGTCGACTCAAATGGTGGCGGTTTGGGGAAGGATGGAGGGGGGGGTTATGAGCCTCGATCACTCCCTGAACTTGGCTTTGACGTAGGACGGCAGCGGGGCAACGTACAACAGGATGTTGAACACGGCCGCGGCCACCGGGAACACGAAGCTGGCGACTAGGTTGATCTGTGGGTCGGCCACCGTAGCCGGGTACCGCTCGTTGACGTAAGAAGCTCCGTCCTGGTACCGGCACTCAAACGGCTCGGCCGCGGGTTTGGAGCAGTTCTGAGACGCGTCTTGCCACAACCCGTTGTACTGCTGGCGGCCGTCGAAAGCCTGAGCCGTCAGATAAGCTCCGACGTACCTGGTCTGCGTGGCGTAAGTCACCCACGACAGCCATTCCGACATGCCCCGGTAAGATCTATACGGAAAGAGAATAATAATAATTATTCTCATAATRGTCGACACGAAGACGCTCGAGGTTAAATGTTTAATATTAAAATATTGTTTTGCGACGTACCACTTGAGCGCCGCGCGGATAGGAACATGGATATTATACATTCAGATAATAATGTTTGGTGACGATGATAATATTTTTTATTTTTTGGGAGATTGGCCTGACACTTATTTATCGAAAAAAGTATGGTATTATGTGACTATTAACAGTTATCAACTCTATGAAGTCTCCGTCCCCGAAAATCGCATTGAATAACGAACAACTTTTAATGAATCATTGTTCTGTACTGCGGAGTCATCTCCCAAATTGTGCCTATTTTGTCATGTTACTCTCTTAAATGAAATTAAAGCTTTAGATTATTATTAATTGTTTGAGTGTGGAACAAAATACGGTTTTTGTAGGTATCTACAAGTTTGTGCAAATTACATGATTCCCTTTTATCTAGTTTTATGTGTTAATTATTACCTTAAAAAGTGGCGCAAATTACTTTCTGGTGGTTTTTAGCGTGAATTTCATACGTCCTATTAATCCTATTGATCGACCGTCAACAGTCGCGTGGCTATTTATAATTATTTGATTTAGGGCTGCGCGGTTATTTTATGTAATCGATTATTTTGCATGCGTTATAATTATTATAAATAATTGATGCAATCAAAATTCAATTTTAGTCGAAAATCGATTATTTTATTACAATTTCAGTTAATAGTAATAACATAATTGATTAAAATATCTACATATCGATTAATTTATGGGCATAAAATATGTAATCACGCAGCCTTGTTTATGATACAACTTACCTCAGCATCCCGCTGCCCAGCACGATCATGACACTGAAGATGTATATGCAAAACACGCTAGTGTTGTAAGGGTTCCTGGATATGGCCATCACGGCGACGACCAGCTGTTCGGCGAACAGGTAGCAACTCAACAACACGGCTGCGAAAAGACTCAATTCCGTCCAGTCGTTGAACTTCATCAGACTTAAAAAAACAATAATCAATCAAATTGAAAATCCCTACAAAATAATATAATATTATCGGCTCCTTTTATAAAAAAAAAGTCAAATCGATTCGTCTGGTACAATTTTTCTTTTGAAAGTGGTTGTGTGGGGATGAGGGAGATTTTTATAAACACCGGCTAACTTTAAGGAATTTATATAAACCGTGTTCTCGTACTGCACTGAAATAGGGATAGCAGATGAACCAACAGTTCAGCAGTTGGTGTAAATTTAGAAGGACATTAAACGGCACGATGGCCAAAATATTTTACGAGATGCTGTATGTTAAACATGTGGTATGTGTAGTTCGGATCAAATATGATCAGCTTTTGTAGAATAACGGTTCGTGCTTATATTCTCACTAGTTATCGATTTTATAAGGGTTTAGCTGCAACTATATTAAATCAACAAAACCCTTTTTTTATGATATTAGTTTATATGTATAGTAAACTATTAAAATACCAATTAGGTTAGTTGTGACGTTAAACGATATACACAAAAAAATGTAACTCACTTATTGAGAATTCCGATTTTTATGGAATTTTTGGGTTGTCGGATACTTTAATTGTAAGGGAAGTAATACTAACGCAATTCTTCTTTCCTCAATCAAGGATATCACATAAATAAACGTAAACGTAATTAACATTTAACGTGTGTTAATTAGCTGAATTGGTGTAAAAAATCTAACTCATATAATAAAGCTTTTATAAAGCTACTATTATTTTAAATAGTCGTACTGAGTAGATATTCGACTTATCTGCCTGTAATATACTACACATGCAATATTATAAAATATTCGTTGAGTAGGTAATATCCGGTACTTACTGGTACAGTATAGCCGACGATCCGGAGACGGTGAGAAAAGCKAGTGGTAACGAGAAAGTGAAATAACTGATGAGGAAAAGTGGTCCGTTGTAAGTACCATCTTGGTTTTCCTGATAGTATCGTGTCCTGTGAGGAGCGTCTGAAATCATGAAAACGTACACTATATCTATATACATTATCCGTACTACGTAATCATTAAACATAATATTGTACATGTGGGACTGGATTGTATAATATAATTAATATATATTTTCATGTCATTATTATTATGATTCACTTTTACCGTGGTTAAAAATATTTTAAGATATATCTATCTTGTATTTACCTGATAATTATATTTTTATAATTGGACTCGCCGCGGTCCGAGACCGTTACGCGTAGCGCGCCCGTGTTTAATATTTTAATTATTATTCTTATTTATATTTTTATCGTCAAATCCATGACGTTGACACTYCTCATAATGCAAAATATATAATAGTATACATATATATGGTGTTAGGTTATACACTACACGATTATGAATACACTGGTTCACTGCTACTTTACTAGTTATTTTAGTTAGCATGGGTACTAATAGCAGCGGTTCGTTTCTATAGAAAGTGTTGTGGTATTCCTCGTTCGCGGTGTCGTGTCATGTTAATTACCTATATCTAAATGTCAAACCGGACATGATTTTCTTTTTCTTTTTTATTTTATTAGACATATTATACTAGGTTAGTCCATTATAGGACTTACAATTTTTATAGAGTAATTAAATGAGAAAATTGACTGAAATAAGCAAGTGTGGTATACTATTATAAATATTTATTTTTTCATATAGCCCTGCAGAATAACAACCTGCAGGTTACACGATTAAAACGATTATCACGACACCGACGACTTTTGAGACGGTGAGAGCGGTTATTAGAAATCGTAATAGAGTATTACATATTATGATATTAGGGGTAGAACATACATTTTTGAGGGGTGAACTTTTACTAAATGGTTCGAAATTTTAATACTTAGGTCTATAGTTCCATACGCGTGTTATAGAAATAATTAACAAACCAAAAGAAGCAGAAGTGATATTGATTGAAAATCTTGTTTTGGGTATGATTTTCTTAAAACATAACATTCAAAGCTTTTTCATATTGCAATCTTTTCATCTTTTGGATGTGCACAGTTTATTGATGATAGCGTTTTAAACTAACATGTCAGGTCAATGACAGTAATTTTTGAAGTTTGGGCATGGATATATTTTGTTCGATAACGATGATAACAATTATAGSTAGGTACCCATATTTCATCTTTATAGTTGAGAAAAACACTATACATAATATGCATTATGATTATTATGAATGATACGGAAAATCATGTTATGTAATGGTTAGGGTAAAATATTATCATTGTATTCGACAAGTGATTTTTCTAAGTGTTTTAAGAATATTTTTAATTATTTTTTATAGGCATTTTGTTTTTTAATCGATATCAGTGTATTTAGGTACCTATATTAAATTAATTATTGATGATATTATTTTTTTTAAATGTATACAATCGATGCATAACCTTAATTTTACAGTCAATTAGATAAGCTACATTGTTAGTTTTAACTCTGTTTTAAATACAAATTCTGTTAATTTTACTTTTTTTTTAAAACTATGTCCAAACATTGAGTTGTATATAAAAATGTATATTATCATAATAATAATATAACCATTTTTTATCTTGGCAAGCAGTCGATCGCATACGTATGAAAAAATGAGTTTTTAGTCTGTGAGTAATTTAATAAGTAATTGTTTTGCTCAAAAACATAGATTTTGATAAATATTTGGTATTTATATTTTAGTCCCGGTCTGACCAACGTGTTATTTTTCATTAATATAACACAAACATAAATTCATTAGCAATATAGTTACCTATACCGACTATACCTAATATGCATTGGGACATCAGTCATAAGTTCATAACGCCTATACGTCTGAAAATCTTCAAAATCGTGCAATAAAAAAATATAAATTAATTAGAGTTTGACGATTTTATGACGATTGTTCCAATAATTTTTAACTGCTTTGAAATTGACTTCCTCGATATTCCAATGAGTAATGTAATTTAATTACTAAGAAGTATAGACTATATAGAGGTAACTATTATTAATATAAATATATCCTGATTTTCGTCTTCAGCAATATACCTACTTACAAATTTCGCAATAACAATGGGCCAGCGAGTGAATCACCAATAGAGAAAAAATTAAGATATAAGTTGATTGTATTTACATAATATGTATCATATTATGTATATTTTATACGGTATAGGTAATAGATATAATTTACACGATAATATTTTTCTGTATTGTTGGGCCTTGGGAGAATGGGATATCTTTCTTATATTATTTTTCGTCGTAAATTAAGCTTTTGAAACATTTGATATTTCGTCATCGTTTCCTTACATTGTTGTATCTATAGTACTTCTGTTATATCGTTACTCATTATTGTATAATATTTACTTACAGGTGTACGCTKTAGTGAATATGGAAGTCAAATACGTTGTCGTTATACAGGTCAACAGCAGACCACTGCGGGACATGAACGTCGACTGGTAGTCCTAAATAGTATACATGTGAAAACCATCTTTAGTTAGTAGGTACTCTAGTTAATCATCCAGGGGAATGCATTAATGTAAGACTGTCATCAGCTGATTACCTTGATATCGTGGAAAAATACCCAAACCAACAGGAATGCGATGGGCATGGCGATGAGTCGTGCTAACAAGTAGAACAGAGCTTGCCAGGAACATCCGAAAGTGGACGCGAATTGGCGCCTAAAAGAAAAAAAATAGTTTTTAATTAAAGGTTATACCATATACACCGGTATTGAAGCAAAGTAGATATTTTATAGATATATATTGCGCAATGCTGTTGCTTAAGTATTGTATAGATGTTAAGGGCGACAAAAGATTGTATATTTTTGATAACAAAATTTTAATATATTATGATTTATGATGTTAAGCATAAACTGCAGAGTAAACTGTAATAATTAATATATGTGTAATTCACGTTTAATATTTGTATTCGAATTTAATAATAGGCTCAGACGTCCGGTTAATTGTTATTATTTTTTGGTATGTTATTAAATATTGTAGTACCTAGGTATATACAGTCAATACGTTTATGCCGGGTCAATTAAAAGTATATTTTAAGTTCGTAGTGTTCATACCAAGTTGTGTAAGAATATCCCGCGGGAACGTTTTTTTTTTGAGATAATAATTGTGATAGCATATAGCCTACATTTCAGCGGTTGAAATCAGAACAATTCTGTTGACACGACTTGATTTTTTCTTTAAAGAGAATGGTGGTTGCCATTTACAGCAATGTTTTATATTATCATGAGGTGAAATAATAATAAATCTATGACATTATATTATACATAGTAAAGTCACGGGAAAACATTAATAATACGACTGCAGTATGATTGGGTTAGTCTTGTAAATAAATTATAATATTAATTATATATATATATATAATATAGTATATAATGCCAATAAAATCAATTTAGGTATTAATTTTTTATAATATTGCTTATGTAGAAAATTATAATTTTGTTGTAGATCAAAAAACACCACTATATTGGTTGGTTTATTGGTTGTAGGTGTTTAGGTCAATATAGGCGTATATTACCTTCAATCAATTATTATATTTCGAAAGTCATCAGTTGAATATATAAATTTGTTTATTAGGTATATATGTAGGTATCTAAATACGTAAGTAATTTAATTGTAATTTAACTGCACTAGTCTTTAGCAACAATACTATATAAAACGTACAACTGGTAAGTGGATATTTTAATTTTGAAAAATATTTTGAGATATTCAATAGGTATATTATTTTATTATGATTTAGCAACTTGCACAAGTTTAACATAATAATACATTCTAATTTTCCTATACAATTTTTTTCCCGAATATAATATTATACTAGGTAGGTTATAACGCCGGAAAACTGTAGTATATATTACATTGTTACCAAATGCATGAGTACTAAAGAATACACATTTTTCCTCTTTTATCCTGTCGGAAAACTTACGGTAAATATTCTAAATATGCTCTCTTTATAAATGAAAACGTACCTACCTAATGATTTTTTTTGCGACTTGATTTGTTAGAAATGTGTAAATATGTATATATATATATATATATATATATATGGTTATTTATTATGCGGCACGAGTACAAAAATAATAATAATAACAACAACGATAATAGTAATGTTAGTGATACGAAAAAACTAAATTTTATACAGCTCTATATATATAATATGAAATAACTGCAGTTGTAATGTTTTCTTTATAAATACTATTGTTATTGAACACAGGCGTATTATTATTTTTAGGTAAGTATACATAGCACTGCTGCAGAGTGCAGGTATAATACGGTTTTGTTTTGTTTCGGTGTCGTAAAAAACGTAAAATGAGTTGTGATGGCATTGCAAATTTGACGTTCGTTGTTCGACGGAAAYAATGGGTCATTGTTGCGAAATCGAGCGAGTCGTGTCWTAAATTTAAAGAAAACCCTATTGGTTTATAACTCGCGGTGTGTAATCGTTTTTTCTCCGAGTGTACGTTAAAAAAATATACAATTATAAATCGTCAATCGCTTGCCGAACCGAAAAACATGTCACATGTTTATATCATATTATTCATATTATTATCTATTATATTATTATTTCTGCTGCGACTTACTGGTACAACGTCATTCCGATTTGTGTGGTCGAAGACCCCTGTGCCGAATATGGATACGGATGTGAGTTGGGTTGGTGGTCACTGGGCGGTGACCCGAGGAGCACAGACATTGCAGATGACTTCCTGTAGGGGGCCCCTTCCATTTTAAACTTCTCCACTAGCGCCACGATTTGTGCATTAGACTCGACAAACCTCTCGCGAGATCGTCGATCCACCGTTGACAAACACACTGTGAACAGATTACGGATGATCGATTGTTCGCTAACTTATACATAATACATAGTAAATTTCGTATAATATTTTATCTTTTTATGTTGTATGACGTAGTGCCATGTCGAAAACCTAAAAATATCATATCCGGTACTGGCACACACATGGTTGTTCAGCTATTGAAGTTTTTTGATAAATCGAATTTTTACATTCAAAAATAAATTATTATAGTTATTATTATTTATAGACACTGGATATGAACGACGACAATTTTTTCTAGATCGCTGACCTCTATACATTAAATTTATCACGTAACTGAATAGAACTCATAACATTCAAAAATGTCCATAAATAATCATCAACTTGGCATATAATTTTGTRAGATATTATGCCTATTTACGTCAATTCGTGTGACATTAACAACGAGATTTTCCCAAGATTATCATGTTAGTATATAGATTTACCTGCGTATTATCTATGGCTTTGTTCAGAATTATGCAAGCACGACTTATACATTGGCGATTAGTTACAGATGTTTTTGCACGGATCTAATATGTTGTCACAAATTATTAACGTACTATGAAAATTTAACTACCTATACGTATTCTTTGAGATCGTTTGAAAAATATTTTCAAACTATAATTTATAATGTAATAAATTA